TCCCTAGCCAGCATGGCTAGCTAGGGAATTCTGGGAGTTGAAGTCCACACATCTTCAAGCTGCCAAGGTTGAGAAACACTTTTTAGTGTGTCTTCTTTAAAAAAGAACTCTGATCAGTATTCCTTGGCAGAATTAAACAAAAATTTCAAGATGAGTATACATGGTTCAGTTGGGAGAAGGACCTGAAATCCAGAAATATAGGTATATTCCCAAATGTTGCCACCCTAAACTAAAAGATCATCCTGTAGAAGACACATTTCTGGCCAGCTACTATTCAGAGATATCATGGATGGCTGCCTAAATCTTTTCTGTGGTTTCTCCCAACTTTTGAATGATTTATACAGTGAATCACAGACAGCCTAGTGTCTGCTTGGCTACCTTTGTAGAGCAGGCAAAGACATTTCGGTTTACTCGGTTGTTTTATTTCTTTTAGAAATACTTAATAACTTCCTCATTGCAATGGGAACTTTTACCCAATTTTCTTTCTGCTGTCCATGCTTCTGTAATTAAAGTATCTCCATGGTAATATTAAGTAACAGCTCAGTCGTCAAACCTAGTGGCAAAAATACAGGAGACAAAAGTTGAAACCTGAAGGTACAGGTCCCCATTCTGAGAAAAACAAGAGTGACGAGGTTGACACATCATGTTAAGTCATGATTTGTTTTATAGTTGTGTACTGAGTAGGCCACAATTGATTGGATTCACTGCACCTAACCCATAGCTTAGAGACCCAGTTTGGTGTAGTGGTTAAGGCACCAGGCTAGAAACCTGGAGACAGTGACTTTTAGTCCTGCCTTAGGCACAAAGTGAGCTGGGTGACCTTGGGCCAGTCATTCTCTCTCAGCCCTAGGAAGGAGGCAATGGCAAGCCATTTCTGAAATCTTGCCAAGAAAACTGCAGGGATTAGTCTAAGCAGTAGCCAGGAGTCAAAAACTGACTTGAACACATACAGACAAGCCATAGCTTGGCAGCTAAGTAGTTGGATTCATACAAGATGCTAAGTTAAAACCCCCAAACCATAGTACTTTACTCTTTAAGAGATCCAGAACACTCACATTCTTTAGATGTCTCATGGCTAAGTGGAATGATTTTAAGATGCTTGGGCTGTCCCAAATTCTCTCTCAGAATCTTCTAATGAATATGCATCTAATACTTTAAAGTATTCTATTTTGGGCCAATTAAAAAAAAACCCTGAATTTAAATCTAAATCTGTTCCTCATGTAAAAACAAGGAAGGAGATAATGGTAGCTCATTTTCTACAGGTTTTGATCTATTTTGGGATGTTGCTCAGCTTGAAAGAGACCATATAGGCTGTCAGGATGATAAATTCTCCCTATTTTATATTTCATATTTTATATATATTTTAGGGATTTGAAGATCAAAATTAGGCAGGTCTGGTTCATAATACTTCACTCCTTGAGTTAAAGCACATGATAATACTTTTCCCTTCCACATGAAGAGGCTGCGGCTCAGAGCTACAGCTGGAAGAGATCATTTCAACGATCAGATCCAGTACTCTGCTGAATATTAAATCCAGTGTTAAACATTCAGAGCTAGTGATGGAGAGCTTATTTATTTATTTTTTAAATTAATTTTTAAGGTCACTCACTTCTCAACAACAACTGAGGCTTACAGACTGTTCAAACAATTTTTCAAAAATCATTAAATAGCAACCAGGCTGGGAGGATCAAATCAGATGGCTGACATCATTGCTGGTGCTGACTGGGAATCTAATTCAGAGCCTACAGTAAGAGCCAGGCCTGAAGGCCAGCAGATAGGGAGACTAATCAATAGGGCAGGTACAGCCATAGAGAAAGCACACTTCCTGGTTCCTATTTGGTGGCATGGTTTAATTAATGGGACCTGGAGCATGCAGACTTGTCAGATTCAATCAGAGAGGCAGAAACAATTGGAGAGAGGTAGTCCCACAAGTGTCCACGCCCCAGGCTATGAAGGACTTTATAGATGACCACCAGCACTTTGAATTGCACCCAGAAGCATACCGGTAATTTTTGCAGCTCATGAACTAGCGGCATTACATGGGTGTACCGAGGTATGTCCATTACTGCATGCATTGTGGCATTCTGGACCAATTGCTCAGATTAGGTCTAAAGTTCAACCCCTGCCATCTCCACCTAATAGAGGGATATGCAGTAAGACACAGCAAACTGTTCCACATCTGGATCAAGATGGCCATCTGACTGAGTACAGTGGGACATCTGAGGAAAGATGTAAAAAGTGGTATGAACATACAGTATCTGAATATTTGCTGTAGTTCTTGAAACTTGTCATAACTTTAAGAAATATGTGTTCTGAAATACACCGTGGTGATATGTGGCAACTCCACCAGATCCCCAGTAGTGGCAGTGCATTAATTCCATTGTGCCACATTCCTTGGGACTGCTTTGGAGAAGCTGCCTGCTAGGACTATTCCCAGGCTTCGTCTCCTTTGATGTTTGGGGACTTAAGGGAGGTACAAAGATTGCAGTAACCTGAGCCATTGCAGACAGACCTACCAGCAGGTTCCAGGCTCCTGAACGAAAGAAAGCACAAGCTGTTGCCTTATGAACGAGAAACAAATCCAAGATTTCAGCCACTGGAATTAGGGAGACAAGTATTCTGGTTCCATAATGCCTCTGAGGAAAAAAGTGCGACCAAGTTCTGCTTCTGGGAAGTTAGAAACCGTCATACTGACCAGGTAAGGGGCAAATAGTGGAAAGGAAGATGTTATGTCTCTGTACATTAAACAGAAACACATTGCTGCCTTTATTTATTTTATTATTTTTTTTCTTTTCACATGAAACAAGATTTAGCTGCAGCTGCCAAAGGCAGACATATTTGGAAAGCTTTTGCTGTTGTCAAGGAACCTCAGCTGTCAGAGTTTTTTGTTTGTTTTTCTCTTTGTGTAGGAATTATAATTGTCTAGGCCTGGCACTGTGGTTCCTTTGCTTAGCAATGATCCCTCCACATTTCTATCTTGTCAGGAGTTCAGCGTGCACAGTCGACCTGTGAATTCAGCTTCAGTGAAAAGTGTGAACATTTCTTTGGCAGGAGGGCCTGCTAACTCTTTTCTTGGGAAGATGCAGCGCGTTATAATTACCTTCAGCCCCCTGAGGACTTTCTGATGGCAAAACATAAGGCTTACTGTTACAGGAGAAATTTACGAATAAAGCCATTGTGTTCCTGCAAACAAAGTGTGTTAGATTTCTGACATGTTGGGGATTAGATTCACAGAGCAGAGGGAATACTTTTAATATCATTTAACATAAACTTTTGCAGGATTCCTGGTAACAGTACACATCTCAGCAAAAGCGCTTTCTATAGGGAGGAAAATCTTCTTTCCTTGCCCTCTTTATCTCACCCAGGAGTGGCCTTCTCACTCAGGAAGCAGCTGGGTCCTTTCAGGATGTCAGCTGCCACTCACCATTGATCTATCACAATTTGCTAGGACAATGTGACATAAGAAAAAAACTGAAGTATGGACAGAGCCAGTTATTCAGTCACACAATCTTATGCGCAAGCTACACATCAACTTATATTGTGTGCAACATGCTCCCAGGCTGCCTAATGTTATTTATTCTTACTGGAAAGGTCTCGGGCTGTCACAAAATGATACAGAAAATGGGCACATTTAATGGCTATGTTTTAGGCTGTGAACCTTTGTCATTTCATTGATGGAGAAG